AAAAAATTACAAGATTGTACAAGGTTTTCTCTAACTGGATGTGCTTAAAATATTACTCTTCATAATTATCTTACCTGTGATTAAAACAGCGGTGTCAAGAACAGCATAAAAAGTGAATGAAAAATCTCATTATCAACACAGTGAATGTTTCAAATGGTTCAAAACAGGTGCTCTTTTACGAAGAAACTGACGTCCGCAATTCCCATTGGTCAATTTTGTAGGTCACATTAAAGGCAAGTACTAGGTCATTTTGTGCGACCTAAACCCCTGCAAGCTAATGGCTTGGAGGAGGGGTGCATTTTTTTTGTTTACAAATATTGACTCATTGTGAAAAAAGAAGTTTTGCACTGATATGGTTTGATGAAAGGTTTTAATGAATGTTTACATTGCCTCAGTAAACACTAGCTGCCACTTATTTAGTGAGCCTTAGCAGTAATAAATAGGCCCAATTAGTCCATGGCTTCCGCGTCTCAGCTCGCCACGCGCTGAGCCCACCCAGAGCTTCAGAGTCATGAACGCGGTAAGTTGCCTTAAGTAATACTCTGATACAGACCATTTGAGCGACATAGACTGTGAAACACCCGGGAAAATTACTTAAACATACACGAGGCTAGTATTAATGTTTACAATAAAATACTCTCTCTCGATCCCTCCTCTCTCTCTGTCTCTCTCTCTCTCTCTCCCTCTCTCCCTTTTACTTTGTTGCTACACTTGATCGACATTACACATATTTTTTAGTATTTGTTAAGATGCATTTACTTGAATTTTTTATAGTGTAAAATGTTTTTGAGATCAAAAGCCTCTGCATTGGAGGAACTTAGATAACAATCACATTTTCTTTTTTCATCTTGGCAAACTTCTGTTGCTTCCTGTAGATTTATTCTTGATAAATATGCTCAAGTTTCATTGTAGTCAGTTTGTGGTTTGGACCCATGGTGGCTGACGGAAGTGAGACCTAACAATGAAAACAGCAAAGCGTGCCTTGGAGTTTGCTTTGAAACCTGAGTCTAACAGTGGCAGGGACATATGCAGTGACCCTAATAATAACAGCTGAGGCTACAAAGGATGACCACCCCATAGAGAAAAAACTTGTGATCATGATGCAAGGTACTAGTGATTTCTGCAGAGATGAGATTTATTCATTTTTTGTTACTTTTTTTCCATGACAATTGAATCTGTAGTTATTAAAGACAACTTTATATATATACATGTGTGTGTACCTTATCTTTAAAAAAATGACGAGCTTATATTTGGTAATTTTCAGTCTTATTTTTTGTTTGTTACTTAACTATTGTGATGGACATGCCCTAATGACACCACAGTATGTCACAATATTTCACCATTTGAAACTATTTAAATGGGTATTGAAATTAATTTATAAATGAAATATATAACAGAATCAACAATTACAAAGATGGATAGGGAAACCCTTTGTAAGTTAATCAAAATAAAGAATATATCATTGTAGTTAATAGATAAACATGGAGAAGAAAGAGCAAATTTCCTTCCAAAAGTTCAATGGCTGGGAGGTAAGTGTTCCCTGTTCCAAGCCTCTGAAGCCTCAATGGTACACCAGGATCTGTATGTCCTGGATACTGAATGATTGTAGTTTTGTCATGTCATCTTTTTCTTCTATTCACAAAACACACCACAATACATGTTACCACAAATTTATAGAATTAAACACAGACCACATTGATTATATAATTTTAGGCCTAACACCAGAGGTTTTCAACCCGGAAAAGGCATTATGGAAGATAGACCAGAGAGTAGTTTAATGAGTGTTCTTGTGTTTTGACTGTAATGTAAAACAAAGGGTGCAGGCCTGAGCTCACCACCTGGCTTTCACTGTTAATTAAGATAAGGGAGCGTGCTACCGGGAATTGTTTTCGCTGATAACATTTAGTTTTGATTTTGCAGCAATTAGTGTTGGGTTTGCCACTACTATCTGAACACCCAAGCTGGCAGGAGGCACACTTGGTTTCATCTCCATTGATTGAAGCAGTAGTGGCATATCTCTCATAGTTGTAACATGTCAAAGGTTTCAAGGAAGAAGACAGTCTTGGGTGAGTTTACATGTGCTTTGGGGAGCTTTTCAAAGTTATGAAAAAATTGTTATTGGTGTATTCTTGTCCCTCTAGATTTGAATTTCAGATGTTAATTACATTTTGTTGAATATTTTTCAGCATAACCTTCTTTCTAGTATCCTGACAGCCAGACGTAATGTAGTTTAATTTATTGTAGCTAAATGTATATCTAACAGAATCAACAATTACAAAGATGAATAGGGATACAATTTGTAAATTAATCAAAATGAAGAATATATCATCGTCCATCATCATGCTTAGTTTTTATTTATTTTACTATTATACTTTAACAGTTCAGAGAAATGCATGTTGAAATTGTTTTGGAGCACTTTTACAGCACAGATATGCTAAAAATGAAAAAAAATAACAAAAACTATATGTTCACTTTTATGGTGGTTGTTGGCTTTGGGATGGCATATATTACTTATGTACATTTTTAAGTCAAGATGGTTTATATTGTTTTAGATATGCAAAACTGAATGAAATTCATTGTGTCTGGTTTGATAGTTTGGGGTTGCAATTATTATGTAGTAGAAAAGCACTAGGAGAGTGCAAACCTGTACACATTTGTTTTTATTATTATTATTATTTATAATTAACTAATAGATCACCACCTGAATTAAGTAAGTGTTAGCCCATGAGAGACTTATCTTGAAAATTTTACCAAAATATGGCCACATTTTTTTGCTAGGGGAATAAACAAAAACATTACTTCTTTGGTGTAGGTAATGCTTTGTGCTGGGGACTGCAGCATTGCGTTTTCCCAGAGCATACGCTCTATGTCTCACCTAACACAATAGCATTGATTGAGGCAGACAGCCAGCTGGTACAAACTTGTTTTGTGTGCTTAATTTTGTTCAGAAAAGACTAATTAAATACACTGTTGGTAGACCTAAATGATTACTTTTTCACAGAATTTCCAAGATCATTTTGCCTTCTTTATATGAAGCCTGTTCTTGATTAAAACTACTAAAGAATGTGTGTCACAAATAGCAATGGTAATGGCAGGATTATGAAGAAAAAAAATTAATTATGCTGTATGATGACACAGCTGTGGAAAATTATATCATGGTTCAAAGCTAAGATTAAGTCACTTGTCAATATTCAATGAAGTGGTGGTTTTTAATACTGTTGTTACAGCTGGTTTTTAATTTCATGAGGGTGTTGCATATTTAACATTTCAGATATCATTATAATTCATTTTTATGACTCGTTGAACACATTAAACTTAAAGAGTAATGTGGGTGTTAGAAATCCTATACGGTATATATTTTCAGTTTAAAAATTTAAAAATAATTCTTATCAGTTAGATATATGTTAAAATGTCACATCTATTTTAACTTGATGGAAATAGGTGCAGTTGACTGATTAATTGATAGTCCTTATACCTGGTAACACTGATGAGACTTTTCTGACTTTTGTCGGAATTCTGACTTTTTCAGTGTCATTTGTGTCATTCTTGTGAATCATGTACCCTGGACCCCCAGCCAATTTTCCTACTTTTTCGGTGAGGACTGGTCTCATCCCTGTAGTAAGATAACTTAAAAGTACATTTGAGGATTCCCAGTAACGCACATAAACCACTATCCAACTACATCATGCGAAGTCAAAAACCAAATTTATCCTTCATTCAGCCAAAAATAGCTTTAAACTGCAACTTCTTCAATTTTCAGGTTGGAAGTTGACCTATTTATCTCCCCCTCCAAATTGTCCGCTAAATGATGTAGCACATTGCATACGTATTCCAACGAGTTGCTGAAAAAGACCGAGGGTTATATAAAGCACAGAAAGAAAGCAGAAAATATCTGCCATTTTTTCAGAAAATATAAAATCATATCCTTTGGTGTATCTCTAAGTTATACTATTTGAAGCTGTATGGTGCCGTTTGGTTGGGTTTTCAAGCAAAAAGTAAAAGTAAAGAGGTATTTCACCAGTCTACCTTAAGCTTTCAAATAATTATGTTTAGTTAAATTTTTGTCAGTTAAACACCTCCCCTGACTGATATGAGACAGTCTCTGAGAAGAATCATTTCTGCAAAGAAAAATGTCATATTCTTTTGCATGAAAGTTGACACAAGAGTTAAGCTCTCTACGGGCTCTGTGTGTCCAAAATTAATGCACATAAACATGTACTCAGTCATGTAAAGTTAAGTCAATACATTTCTGTTGTATCAGACTTTTTTAATGATTGAACAGACAAATATTGATATATGTCTTAAGTCAAAAATTCAGTCTACAAAAACTATGTTACAGTTCATTATATCAGACCATTTGAGTACCATGTTAGTTTACCCCTATGACATACAGCTAAAACAATACAAAATTATTTATTCAATTAAGCTGTAACAGACAAAACATGTGGCGTCAAGTCACTTATGTACACATTTTTGAAAGAGTAAACTTATAATGTAGGAAAAAAGTATGTGCAAGATTTGATCCATTGTTTTTATCATTCTTTATAAAATTTTGTATGCATAAACTTGATGTTAGGACTATGCTGGCTATGATCAAGGATTTTAGGTTTTCAATTATCTCTTTGTTCATGCCATTTTTAGTCTAATGACGCACAGTGTTTGTGTATAATGTATCATTATTTTTAATCTCTTCCCATGTCATTATGTATGTCATGATTGATTTAATGTGTTAATATGTATACAGTAAAAGACCAAACATCCGAATGCTGGCTATTTTTGTTACCTGTATGTTTTTTTCCTATGTTCTAATGACTCGGTGAGAATGGATCGTTGGTGGGGAAATAAGTTGGTACATGTTACTCGTTTTTTTTAGCCACCTAGATTGCAGCGTCTTATTTTGATTTGTGCTACAGTTTCTTTGTTGATTCTCTCTGATACACGGTAGTTATCCCTGAACATACTTTTACAGTTGTAATACATAAATACCAGTGTGGAGCAGAGTCCAGATCTTGTCATCTCTGTGTTAAATGGTAAAATTGTGGTGTGCTGAAAGATGTAATGATGATTATCTTGTTTGCTGTATTTGTCACTGTTCTTGTTACAAGGCAACTTTCATACCATCTCTAGAATATCCAGGATGGATTAGGATCATGTGTTAAAACATTAAGTCCCACATTGCCATGGTTCAGTGATGCAGAAAATTAAGGAAGAGTTAAAAAAACTAAAAGAGGGCAGAAATTATCATATCCCTATCATGATTGAACAGGTGGGGCGACATTCTTATTGGATATTCTTCTCTTCGTATAACCTGTTAACAGGTCTGGCTGTGCCTTCATATTTATTATTATTATTCATTTTTGAAAAAAATCTCCCAGTGAATAACAGGAATCCAGAAAAGAACCAGAAAATATGTTGTAAATACACTGCTTTTTTAAAATCCTATTTATTTCAGGCATTTCTCACTGTAACCAGAGTTCAGTGTTAAACCACAAACTCAGTATAAGGTTTTCATCATGGAAAAGTGAAGTCCTGAAATGCTAGACATTTTAGAAAAGGCTTGGTTTCTTATTAAGGAAAACCTTACTTTTAAATCCATTCCAAGTTTATATCCTTCCTCATTTTTTATTTTTTTTGTCATCATCAGTCATTCAAGGTCAGATTTTTTCATTCATTATGAGTTAAATTTTCTTAATTTATGGGCATATTGTATTTCCCAGCATTTATATATATATATATATATATATATATATATATATATATATATATATATATATATATATATATATATATATATATATATATATATATATATATATGGTTTTGAGAACCAGAGCTTTTTAATATCTTATTCTAAGTATGCACATAAAAATGCTGTGATTGTAGTGGACAGTGTTTATTCCTCCTCATTTGGACACATGTCCCAGGGCTCATTCCCAATGAAACTATCATTCTACATAGATAGATTCAACTCTGTGGGGACTTGCCGAATGCAATCAGACTAATAGATTAACTATCATCAAGTAAGGATACAGCTGATGATTATGAGAATATGTTGGAAACAAGAGGATTCATGTTAACCTGATTGCATTCAGTGAGAGTCTTCTCAGAGTTGGATTGATGTTGGTAGAATGACAGTTTCATTGGGAATGGGCCCTTAGGTTCAAGAGTGATTTTCAGCCTATATTGACATTGGGNTAGGTTCAAGAGTGATGGTCAGCCTATATTGACATTGGGAATGGGCCCTTAGGTTCAGGAGTGATGGTCAGCCTATATTGACATTGGGAATGGGCCCTTAGGTTCAAGAGTGATGGTCAGCCTATATTGACATTGGGAATGGGCCCTTAGGTTCAAGAGTGATGGTCAGCCTATATTGACATTGGGAATGGACCCTTAGGTTCAAGAGTGATGGTCAGCCTTTATTGACATTGGGAATGTGCCCTTAGGTTCAGGAGTGATGGTCAGCCTATATTGGCATTTACTTGATTGATTGCTTTGCTAGAGTGGACATCAGGAAACTAATTTAAGAAACCTTCTGTGAAGGTCCAAATGATTAACCTTGTGGGTGTGCTTCTCTTATAGCTAGATTAAAAACGTGCTGATGAAACTATATAGGAGAATGTAAAGGTATATGCTGAGCTGAGTGTTTTGTACAAGTAGATGTTTGAAGACATCATTTGGTATTAAAGCCTAAGGCTAAGAAGAACATAACTAGCTGATGATTTTGAAAATTTGGCCATCCTGTTCTTATATCTAACTTCAGATATTAACTGGCAACCTTGTCATATAAATGTAGCTATACTGTCCAGATTGACCTTCAGCAGATGTACCTTCCTTCAAGATATTGTTGCTTGTGATTTTGAAGAACATGAATGTGGATTTCCATATTTGAGGTGTGGCATAATTTATAGGTCGGTTGCTCTTGTAAAAAAAAGGTTGAAGAACCAAGTGTACAGTATAGATTGTGAAAATGATGTTTTTTATGCATCCAGACAATTTTATTTGTTTTGGAAATTAACTGATACATTTAATAAATTATAAATTATTTGTGCCTTTAACAAGAAA